TAATACTTTGTGTAATTTTTAGATTTATATCTTATTTATTTAGCTCAATATAAAATTTCAAAAAGTGTTCATAATGCCATGCTACTCTACTGTAGTATAGAAAATTGTATCTTCCTGTTGATATAAGTTCTGGTACTTCCAAATAAAGAATAATAGGCAGGACTACCGAATATAAAAAAATATAAAACATCTATTTAATAATATATTAAATTAGAAATTCAAAATAAATTATTATAAAAGAAGCAATAAATATAAAAAATATTAAATAGAAATAAACAAGATACACAAAAACTAGGCTAGCTATTTGTAGAATATAAAAAACTTTGATAGATTTAAATTATAGATAAATTAGTCTAAATCTTTATATCTTTATATAAGTTAATATATATAATCTATATAAATTTAATATATTAAAATATAATTTTATCTTAAGACAATTTTTTTATAGAGACCTATTATCATGGTGATCCTATATATAGCAGCCAATTATATTTAAGGTTGGTAAATTTTTATTTTTATTTTTTATTATAACATTTAAAAATTTTTTAAAAAATTTTAATTGGCCAATAATAAGCAACTTATAATCTAGTCACATGCTTAACTTTGATTGGCCAAGCATATAAGATTGCTATAGTGATCTATTACTATAAACTAATATCCTTATCTTAATATATATATATAAAATAATATTATTACTATATATAGTATTTTATTTTATAACAAAATTTTTTCTAAAAATAGTTTATAACAGTCAACTGATTTGTCACATATTTTATATATATAGTGTTATATATATATATAATTATAGCAAAAATATATAGAATTACATATAAACTTTGTTGTGATGATATTTCTTCATTTACATATTATATTAACTTTAAATTAAATTTTACAAATAAATACATCAAGAAAAGGCAAAAAAATGTAGATTTAATTTAAAGTTAATATATAAATGAAGAAACATCATCACAACAAAGTTTATATATAATTCTATATATTTTTGCTATAAGTTTATATATACAAAAATTTAGATGTAATATATTGTACGACTGATAATATACTTGAATTTTTATACAATATTTAAATTTATTTTTAGTTAATTAAAATTTAATAATAATTATTAACTATTTGCTATAAACATGCTTGTTTTTTTGAAAGTTAATAATATTTGTAATTAGACTTTTTATTATATTTTTTCTTTTTGGTATTAACTTTATAACAGATTACAAAATATTAAATATATATAATTAAACCTTATTATAGTTATTTTTAATTATTATATTATTTTTATTTTGGCTATTATAAAATATATATAATTTGATTTTATATAGTTACAACTTATTATAATTACCAAAATTTTGGGTTTCAACCTGATAATTATATCAAGATCTAACTATAGTCAATTTTTTAAAATTTAAAAACTATGTATAAATTTTTTCAAAATAATATTGCAATTTGACGTTTTTAAACTGTGCGCATTATAATAAATAAATTCTTAGATCCGAACACACAATGCTATTCATTAACTAATATTTAATATATATATATATTTATTTTTTATACGGAATTTTATGTTAAATTATATATATATATACTATATATATACAGTATATAGGCGGCCTTTTATTAAACAAATGTTTTATTAGAAAACACAAAAATATGTAACAAATCAGAATTTTATTTTAGAATATGCGCGCTAAAAAAAAATACGTACGTACGCACGCGAAGTACCAGTTTGTGAAATGTGATGACTAACGCTAAGAGAACATTTCTTTCGATACAGAGACGAATTAATTTCGCATTACATGTAACACCAAATGTATAAATTCGTAATTCGTTAATTTAAGTTACTTTATCATATATCATCACCATGTACTTGGTATACCGCTTATTTAGAACTGCTTACGTACATAGCAAAAATTGTGTAAAGCTGCACAAAGAATGATTCGTAATAACATTAATATTAAAACATATTGACTCCTAGATTCGGGTTCATTAAAGCGGTGTTTTTGGAATATTTATATCGGCGTAAATATAGTTGACTTTTTTGAACTAGAAAGATTCGGGTTTGTGTAGTTAGTTAAAATAAAATATTATAACATATTTTTAACATAAGTGAATAGACATTTTTGTTTGTCTTCTAGATTTTTTTTTTTTTACATTGCAATTGTTTGTTTGTTATAGAAATTTGTATTTTCATATATACTAACAAGTAACAATAAATGAAATGAATAGCCTTATATTAGTGCAATGAACATTTATAATATACGAAAAACACGTAAAAAGATAAAAATTATTTGAGCATATATATATACACGTATATATATATATATCAATATTCATACAAGTCTGTGCACCTTAAGATGTAAAAAAAATACTGTGGTACTTTAAATTTTTAGACTGTGTTATAACATATTTATTATAATGTAAAATGTAATAATGTAACTTACAGAGATTTGCTCATTCTTTAAATTGCGAAAAACATCCCTTATTTTTTTTCTAAGGATCCATTATCTATTATGTTTAATGATAAAATTTTTGTCCATGTGGTATGTCTGCATTCAATCGGTTGTCAATTACACAGTAAGCCATTTAAACAGGTATTTAATCGCAATGTTTGTCGTTACTCGCGACCTTCTGCTTATCCTTAAGGATCGATTCTCATTTTTCTCCAATTTTGTCTTAGTCTGTACTTTGAATAACATCAATTAATGATTTTTTTTTTTTTTTGCTTCCATCATATAAGTTTTCGTATAAACAATGCAGTTTAATTCATCTTAAAAGCGTCAACTGTCTACTCTTGAGGTTAAAAAAAAAAATTTTTTTCCTTACCAAAACCTCCATTTCCCTTATTATAATAACGGGTATACGAAAAAATTTTATCTTTATTTTCGATTAAAAAAAAAAAAAATGTCTCACCAAAATCCTGGACCAAATCATGTATTCGAATCGGAACCATTACATTTATCTCAGCCTTCTCAAACCTATCATAATCAACATCAATGGGTTATTATTGATGAATCATCCTCGATTGCTTCTCCAAATCAACGAAGCAATAGACCTTCACCTCCAGTACCAGTCATTAAGGTACCTTTTCCACCCATAGTTAATCCCGAAGAATTAATTACGAGACCAAGGAAGGTAAAGTCCAAGATCCCCACAAAGCCACCGAATGCGTTCATGATTTACAGAATGCAATATGTTAAAGAGCTTCATGCTAGGGATCATCGTTTGCCCATGAGAAGTGTTTCTTCTGCCGTGGCTAGTTCCTGGAGGGAAGAACCCGAGCATGTCGTTGAGCATTATGAAGAAATCGCAAGAGAAGCAAGTAGGATTTATAACCAAAAATTCCCGAAGCCACCTACTCCTCAAAAGGGACCTGTTGCACGCCATTCTCGAAGAAGAACAATAAATATGCAAAGTGGCATACCTATTACACATATTGATGACTCACCAAGGCCACATTTTCATTCTCTTCATAGATTTTATCCTAGTGATCATCATAGTCATCGATCTTCCTTAAGCACTATTGTTCATGGCCATCACAATTATCATATGCATTCTTCAAACCCACAAAATCAAGCCATTCCCTCAATGATGGAATCCCATTATTCATCTAACCTTCTTGGTAGACCATCAATGCGTCCTCTTAGATCATTATCTACACCGTATTCAACCACTACAAATCATTCGTCAACGACATCCCCTTTTCACATGCCTTCACTGCCTCATGTTCATTCTTTCCATTATATGGACGATACCGCAAATAACACTTCTGAATGGGACTTTGCAGCCTCGGCACATGCTTAATTAGCATACATAATCGAGTAAATGACAAGATAATTGTCTTTTTTCTTTCCTTTTTTTTTTTTTTTTTTTTTCTTTATAATAATTTCTTTGAAAAATCGGTCATTTCAAACTATTTTCGCGCAACGTATTACATAGAAAAAAACCTTTAATCTCTTCCGTTCCAACGAAATGTACAGAGAATTTTTATGCCTATATTGTTTCCTTTTTTTAATTCGTTTCTTAATTTTTTTTCGGATCATTTTCGATCCTTTTTTAATATCAGCGTTTTATCTGAACAGAACCCTGGCGGTGTGCGCCCGATTATTTTTTTTTATTGCTTATTTGATACATATTTTTTTAATTGCATAGTTAAATTACATCAATAACACATGGAACCACTACGTCTAATTAACGAAATCTATCTCTCCATACTAAAATGCATGCACTGGTACGAGCAAACAACAAAAAAAAAAAAAAAAAAAAAACTAGTATTTTCTGTATCATTTTTTTTTTTATTCTATCTTCTTGCTATATATGTATAAAAAATTAATTATGTGGCTTTTCTCTATATTAAAGTATATATGATCTCACAAACACAATTAATTCTATTGATTTTTTTTTTTCTTGATATGTATGTATAAAAAAAATAACAATTATGTGGCTTTTTTCTTTATATTAAAGTATATACAGTATATGCCGATATTATCATCAAGGCAATTCACGAAAACGTAAACCAGATTAAAATTTTTTAAATTTTTTAAACATGTGGTTTGAGTTAAAAGCTGATCGACTTCAGGAAGTCTTTCACATTTTCTTGAATCGTTCTGCATTTAAAAGATTCGATCTTAAGCAATAATGAAATACTTTTAGACATTCAATTGTTTTCTCGTATATAACTTTTTTTTTCAGTATTTCGAAATTTTTTTGTGTTGATCTCGGTAACTCGTTTTGGGGGGTCCTTAAAGCCGGGTTAAAAAAAGTTACGTTTTTGATGTTTTAGGAGTTACCTTTTTGATACAGTTAAGGTTAGTAAGTTATTTATATATCAAGAATACAATTTATGCAGCATGTAGATCATTATATGAAATCTGCCCCGCTTTAAGGGACCCCTCGTTTTGGTAACGATTGACATGATTAAGAATTTACGTATCTCTTATGAATTAATACATGCGCAGTAAAAATACTCAAAATTTACGCGTAAAATAAAGTTGCCAACTGATATCAGCTTTATTTGGCGATTCATTGGCGATTAGTAATTCATTATCTTACCGCTTGTATGGTTATATAAATAAAATTGTTATTATTACATTTTAATCAAATAGTTCATTGATACCAAAGAACATTAACACCAGCATTAATAAATATCTCCAAATATAAAAAATGAATCATTAATCATACTATTGAAAGATCTATGCACACATAAATTATTGGATGGATCTATTAATGTCTTCATTTACCGATCAATAACTATTATGACGCGCGCACTTTGGTTCACATAGCCTACTTTGGAAAATATGATATCAATTGTAACGTAAATGATTCATTGATGGTGTTTGTTCACGCATTTAACTATTTGCACTCTAATACTTTTCAAAAGATCTTCACACACACAAAGTTCATTAGCGTATGGAATGATTTTTATGAAAAACGAAACTATATGCAGAAGAATTTTGAATGTCTTCGAACATATCAATTTTCCCGTTTAATGTATAATTATCTTGCTATTGCTGTATTGATTAGAAATTCACATGTTACACAATGCACATTTAACTTGTGGATCAAGGAGCTGAAAGTGCTCCGGATGCGTGAAAGTATATTAATTATTCATTGAGGATTCATTGAGGGATTGTTATATTAATTTGACATTATTAATAATTATAGCTTCATAGAAATATTAAACGTTCAGCATGGACACAATGTTCTTAGCATTCTACAAAATACCAAATTCTATTTATTCACGCCATACTCGTGGGTCGTATGTCAATAGTGACTTACAAAGAAAAAAATGTAAATCGTTTAATTCTTTAGCCCAATGCTGTGTAAACGAGGGCGGAACAGTTTGTGCCAAAAAGGGGATTAACGGAAAAGACGGAGATACACTTGGGAAAAAAGAAATTCTTTGATTTCAATAGGCCAATAGAAAACAAATTACATCAATAGTGATCATAATAGTCCATCAATACTAGTTAATCAGTATCAATGCTAGCTGATGTCGATGCGTTACAAATGATTCCCCATTTGTGGTAGGCGAAAAAGAATTTTGGATACATGAGATGACGACCCACTCGATTGCAAATTATTGCAAATTGAATGCGTATGTATATTGCAAAAGAAAGGATGTAGACTCATTCACTTTGTACACAAGTTTATATTGCACTACGTTTATTGTGCACAAAGATATTTTATCTATCCCAGATATTTTGTTGGGTTACGTAACGCTACTTATGCGAATCGGTTGGTACATTTAATTTTTTTCAAGGATCAAATAAAATTACTCCAAGCACCTTAATGACTAATAAGGAGTGGTTGACCTTTCACAAAATATTTCGTCATCGTAGATTTCAGATATTCTAGGCCATGACTACTATACTATATTAAAATTTTACACCTTGCTTGTTAATAGGCTTTAAGTGCTCGATTATCCATCTTCACATCCCATACTTAACATATATGGGTCACAGCATGCTATTGTTCGATTGATAAGCTTATAAAGTCATCTCAATGCAATAACATCAACACTTTATGCGTATATTACATACAGTATTCGTCCATATTAAATAGAAATAGGTTCATATATACGATAGTGTAAACGCATAATACAAATCATAAAAGGGTTTATTTTGTTTGTACATAGTAAATTCCTTAACTAAAAGGCAACCAATGGCCGTCTATCGTTAATGCTTTTGACCTAAAAAATATCCTATTTTAAAAGGAAGGATCAACATAACGTACTGTATATGCTTATACTTATTTAGTTAAGCTACATGCATTGTACATGTGTCATTGATACATGACTGATGTTGGCTAGATCTTATTTGTCGCAGCGTCCATGTTGCCCGATGCGACAAATAGGAAAATGTTGAAGCAAGTTTTTTTTGGGGGGTTTGGTAACTTTATACAAGCATGGTGATAACAATTACAATTACCAAACTGAGACTTCTATCATAAATCATTAATACTATGTAAGTTGCATTTATTGTTCTACTATTGGTTCCGTATCAAGGACCGTGTTGCTTTGATAGTTAAATCCTGAAATGCTAATTTTGCAAATTTCTCGTTTTAGGAAAACAAGAAATTTCAAGTAGTAATGTACAAGAGTCCTTGTATTATGATTGCTTCAGAATTTAATGTAATGGAAGCTTAAATATTATCATTATATGCTCTTCTCAACTTAATAAAAGAGAGGTCATGAAAGTTAATACTAGCATACATTTAGTTTTATTCAGGGATTTATTAACTATTAAATAGCAATCTTAAAACTGGTGATCGTGAAGCATGAATGAAACAAATGAACCCATGATCTACAAGAACCTATTTATTTATTATCAATTCATAGAAGTATTTATAAAATTGTTTAATATATAGTATAATATATAACAGTTGTGTAGCAATTTTATTTTCGTCCCGTAACACACAACACATAGATGACATTTATGTAAGCAATTCACGATTAATAACGATTAATAACGATTAATCACGATTAATCACGATTCATCCTTCTTTTTTATAAAAACCCTTCATCTCTCCGTAGTTCTAACACATGACCAAAGTTCTTTCTTTCATTCTGTTAATTTGTCCCTGAAAAGTATAATTTTTTGAATAATAATTCTTTCTATTTGTTTATTCGTACATACAAGATGTCTCTATGTTTGTCTATCCCCTTTACTTGCCTTGTCCGCGTAATTTGTCATTTACTTCCATAAAATATTATTAGTTCACACTTACCTTACTGCAACAAATAAGTACATCATCTGAGTATAAAAATATGGTTAGTGTGATAATTAATATATAAACCTAAAAATAAGATTAAAAGACACAGCTATTTAGGGTTAAACTTAATTATGTTATGTATCCAAGTTCAGGTGATCCGGTAATGCAATGCGAAGCATTAAATTCTTATAACCTATTTTTGGTTACGATCGTGTTCACACGTACCACTATGTCACGTGAAATATATGCAAACTTGGGCGTAGTAAATTTACGTGTCTTCCTACAGTATATCTTGCCACAGATATTTTCTTTACGTATTAACAAACTATTGTTACATAAAAGAAGCTTACTAATACAGTAATATGTAATATGGTATAAAACGAAACTATATACACTACAGTGTAAATTGTGATTTACAGTTGTACAATAACATGATCCGTGGTCTTTCCGCCCAGTCCCATTTGTGCTACTGATTTCAGTAAAATTACATACACAAATACTTGATTGAAAAATTCAATTGTTATCCCAGAAAAACAAGATCTTAATTGGTGAACCCATGATTATATGTAGCGTTATTGTATATCAACTATATTTTATCATTCAAGATATTATATCAACTATATTAATCAATATATTATATTAATTTAATATGCTATATATTGCCAAGTGTTTTTAAAAACACTGTAATGAGTTCAAGCACCATTCATATCGCGTAAATTGCAATTAATCTTGTTTAGTTAGTATATAATATATCATTCGATTACTAACTTAGCCGACGATATCTATATGCGTTCAATGAGAATATCTCCGATTATATGCTGATAAATAGATAATGTTAAAGTTATTCAAAAGGAAGTTCATCAAAGAATATTCGTTAATTCTTTGTCCAATTATCAAGTTTCTCGATGCTGTGAGAATTGTTAATTATAGAATCAATTTATCCTTTATTTGAGCATTAATAATGTCTTTTGAAACAAAGGATCATTGCCAAGTCAAAAATTGTACTAATTATAATTGCCTTCAGAGATTCTAATGTTCAAACTTTAAAACTTGTCTTTTAATACCAGTAGAGTCATGATTCTTTAAAATAC